TTTGTCTGCTTGATGGAGTTCACAGACTGTTGTAGGATCGCTTGCTTGATTTCCGGAGACTCTGTGGTTGGAGCTAGGACGGCAGTATCGATGGTATACTGGTTGTAGGTGATGGTTTCGTCCACGTGGCTTCCGTTGACCCAATACAATTTCTCGTTGATGAAATCGCTTCTTTTTTCATTTTTTTTCATATTTGTGATGCGACGCGGCAGTCATCGCGGCGAACGCTGCATTCTCCATATTGACAGGACTTGCTGGCATCATAGCGAACGCGTTGCGCTGGAAATGATCAGGGTTGAACTGTCCTCCCCATGTGTTGGCTGATCGTGTGAACAAGCTTGGTGGCTCTGACTGCGAATGGGGGCTTCGAATTTTGGGCTGGCTTCCACTTAACGTGACAACGTTGTGCTCCTGACTCTCATCGCGGAGAGAGCGTACTAGTGCATTGATGTAGCTACTGTTGGACATGATAGACGGTGATTGATATTGCTATTGGGACGTATTTACGGGGGTCTGAAGCAGCTGTGAGTAGATGATAGATGATTGATCTTGGGCTTGAGATTGGCGACAACCGTTGGCCTTCGATCGCTCTAATATATCTGCTCGGGACTCGGCAGTCCAGTCAGTCACGTTACGTCGGCCAGTCATCATTATTGCCAACAATATTCCAGGATAATCTAGTACGGTAAGAGAATATATATTCAAAGCTGCATTAGTAAATTCGTCTTATCATAGTCATCTCATTGCTTGAAGTTGAATTTTGGGGGGGATAGCCCCCTAGGCTATCTGACCCCTGATCGGTTAAAGCGAAAAGTAACTTTTTGTTTGAGCGATATTATACTGTACCGGTAGATATCGGTTTGGCCGACTGCTGGTGGACGAATTTTAGAACGATTTTTTCCGTTGACACTCGAAAAATTGCAAACCTTGGAAAGACGAAAGCAACCACAGGTGTCAAATAAAGAAACAATGGTGACGTTGAAAGACCGATTCAAGCAGCTGAATGAACTCAAACAGCTCACAGAGAATCAACCCCAGTTTGTCCCCCCTCCAGCTGAGGATTCTTCTAGCGAATTTATCATCGACGATAACGAACTATTCGAGGAGAACGACGTGGATTATGACAAGAACATAGACAAAGGGGTGGGTGATGATAATAAAGAAGAACCAGCCGAAGATAATGCTCAATTAACTACAGCTTTGCTTGCAGACGATGGGGATATCGTATCCCAATATCGCAAAATGTTGAAGATGGGAATGTCAGCTGGGGCCGTAGAACAAAAGATGAGAGCTGATGATGTAGACCAAAGGATTATCGATGCTGTTTTTGTGGTGGAAGAGCCAACAAACGAAGGTGTCAGCGATGGCACCGTGGAAAAGGGAAAGGAAGGTAAGATAGTGCAGTGGGATTCCTTTGTAACAAGAAACAAAGTCTTACGTAACGCAATGGCGGCCACAGATGATGAACAAGCCACGAAAGCTCCTGGTTTGGCTCCGGGAGATGATAATGTTGTTTCTGCTCTAGAGGGGCACGAAACCAGTGTTGAGGGTGATGAGAGTCAAAGCATTGATAATAATCAAAGCGGTGAAGTAGGAGGATACGAAAACGATAAGGACGCTGATGATCGGACGGAAAGAGCAGGTGCTAGTGCTGCTGCTGCTGCTGCAGCAGCTTTATCACCTCCACCACAAGAAGGCACCGACGTGATTACGCCACCAAAAAGTAGAACTCTTCCAACATCCGTATCCAACAGAGGAGACGGGACGAGCAAAGCAGTTCAATGCATTATTGCAGTCCTCTGTTTGATTGCGTTGGGTGTATCACTGTATTTCCTTCTACCTGTAATCCTCGATGAAAGTTCACCGTCGACGCGAAGTTCCATCGCCGCCCCATCTGTTTCTGCAGGAGGAAACCCGGGGGAGTTTGCCCCGACATTGAGTCCTGGGGAGCCATCAGAGCCTTCTCGAAGTACTACTTTGTCACCATTGCCAACCCTCTCACCTACTTTCAATGTACCATCACTACCTACAGATAACGGGGTGGACCCCTCGAACCCGACTGAGATGCCTTCCCAGATAGACGCTACACGCCCAGTTCTAATGACGGAACCGCCAACGAAGATACCCACAAAGAATCCCACTGTCTCTCCAACCAATACGTCGACAAAGGCGCCTACGCCTGCTCCTACCACCCAGGCTCCAACAAAGAACCCCACTGGTTCACCAACAAGAGCGCCCGCAGCTTCTCCTGCAACGCCTTCCCCGACAAAGAATCCCACTATTTCTCCAACCAAAACACCGACAAAAGCGCCAACACCTGCTCCTACCACCCAGGCTCCAACAAAGAACCCCACTAGTTCACCAACAAGAGCTCCCACAGCTACTCCTTCAACGCCTTCCCCGACAATGAATCCCACTAGTTCTCCAACCAAAACACCGACAAAGACTCCTACATCTGCACCTATCACTCCGGCTCCAACAAGTTTCCCGACAAAGAACCCAACTAAAGCACCAACAAGAATTCCCACATTTTCTCCCACTACGTCCCCCCCAACAAAGATTCCCACTGGTTCTCCAACCGAACCGCCGACAAAAACTCCAACAAAGGCTCCCACATTTGAACCTGTTACATCCCTTGTTCAGCAGCTCGAGGTAATTTCAGGCGCTGGGGTTTTTGACAACGCAAACTCCCCTCAGAGTTTTGCATTGGACTTTTTGCGCCGTGAAGGTTATGGGGATGAATTAGTCGAGGACCGTAGAGTGCTGGAGAGATATGCAGCTCTTGTGTTCTACTATTCTACAGGTGGAGAATCGTCCTGGTTCCAATGCTTCAAAGGTCATTTGAATTGTGGAAGCCGTCAGTGGCTGCTTGGAGGCACATGCAATTGGCAATTTCTGTCCTGCAATAATGCTGGAATTGTCACTTCCTTTACAATAGGTACGTGCCTCTGCAACTTTTCCCGAGTATCATTGATCCATTCGAATCTCATTTTTTCGATTCCAATCACATGTTCTGTAGATTTCAATAATGGATTGTCTGGTCCGATTCCGATCGAATTGTCAGTTTTCAGCGAGCTTCGAGAGTTTGCTTTGCTGGACAACAGGATGCAAGGGTCATTGCCTGAACTGTTCAAGGAGAACGAAAGTCAGCTCAGAGTCCTTCGTCTAGAAAATAGTGGTCTTGAAGGTACCATTCCCCCCGGGTTTTTGAACAAAAGCCCAGTCGAATCCTTGGTACTTTCTGGTTTGAAGATCGTTGGAAGTATCCCAGAGGACATTTATGATTTGACTGGTTTGCAGCAGTTGTATCTCAACGAAAATGCAGACTTGACCGGTAGTATATCGCCATCAATCAACAAACTCTCAAACCTCGTTGAACTTCGATTAAGTGACACGCGAGTTGGTGGCAGAATCCCTGATGAGATATTTAAACTACGCAGAATCGAAGAGATCGACTTGAGCAATGCCGATTTCAGAGGTCCAATATCTAACTCATTTGTCAGTATATCTGACTCTTTGAACCGTCTGTACCTTCACAACAATGCTTTTGTTGGTACGGTGCCTGCCTCTTTTGGCATGCTCAATAAGCTAACTGAGCTGACTCTACACGATAACCTTCTTTCTGGAAATATTTCTCCCACAATCTGTGCCTTGAATCTAAGAACATTGACCACGAGCTGCGACGAGGTCTCGTGTAGCTGCTGTACCATGTGCTTTTGAGAAAAAGTGATGAGAAGAAGGAGCAAATGAGTGTTATATTTTTGAATTTGTGCAACCGGTTCTAAATCCATTTGGAAATATCCCTAGATATCAAAATCTACCGGTCATGAAATTGTTAGCTATTTATTGTCCTCAATCCAATATTTCCTGTTCCCGTTCACTAGCTACTAATGTTCCAATATTCTCATCAACGGACAGCTGTACCGGTAGGTAGTTTAGAGGTCCTCCGTAGTCAATCCAGTCGTATGATGACTCACTATTCTCCATTCTCCAACAAAACAAAATACTACAGATCCGCATCTTTTTTATTGCATTCACATTTCAATTTGCTGTTTCAAAAACAATTCGCCAACGAATCTATACCTAGTCCCGATGGTATCGCTCTTGTCGAGGATGCTGGAAACGACTTCACAAAGCCGTACACTACGGCCATTGTTTCAAACAAGTGAATTTTAGATTTCAGATTTGAGCGACCTACAGTAAAATCTTGGCGGTCTACACTCCGTACGTCTGCGTTTTCTCTCAAACACACAAACAAACAAACAAACAAACTGAACATTCGCCTTACAAACTACCCCTTTCAAACATGGTAAAAGTATTTCTTAAAGGTGGTACTTGGAAAAACTCAGAGGATGAGATTCTGAAGGCTGCTGTACAGAAATATGGGAAACAGCAATGGGCACGTGTAGCGTCGCTATTGAATCGCAAGTCTGCAAAACAATGCAAGGCACGGTGGCACGAGTGGCTGGACCCGTCCGTTCGCAAAGTAGAATGGAGCCGAGAAGAGGAAGAAAAGCTTTTGCATCTGGCGAAGCTGATGCCAGCGCAGTGGAAAACAATCGGACCATTAGTTGGCCGTACAGCCACTCAGTGCCAGGAGCACTACGAGAAATTGCTGGACGATGCAGCTGCGGGAAAGGGTGATGATGACAATGACCAAAGCTTGCGTAGCCAACCCTTGCGTGTGGGTCAAATTGACTCGCATCCCGAGACGAAACCTGCACGTCCAGATCCAATCGACATGGACGAAGACGAAATTGAGATGCTCCAGGAAGCACGAGCTAGACTGGCAAACACCCAAGGAAAAAAGGCGAAACGTAAAGCTAGAGAGAAAATGTTAGCTCAGGCAAAACGTCTCACCGAGCTTCAAAAGCGTCGAGAACTCAAGCAAGCTGGATTGGTTAGCGGCAGTGCAAGAAGAAAGGCAAAACGATCTCGCGAAATTGATCTTGGTGTTGAAATACCTTTCCACAAACCTGCCCCAGCTGGTTTTCATGATGTCACATCGGAGGCTGCTAGAACTGAAGGAATTCGCGCCAAAAGAATGAAATCCGTGGACTTCAAGAAACTGAACGAACAGCAATACCGATCTCGCGACCGAGAAGCTGCCCAAGCAAAGAAGCGTGAAGAGGCAAGGTTGAGGACACTCGAAAAGAGCAACATGCAATATGTAGTGGCTCAAGTCAGCAAAACGAATGATCCATTGAACATTCGTAAACGAGGACCGCTCGAGCTTCCTGCGCCTTCTATCACAGATCAAGAGCTGAAACAAATGGCGAAAATGGATCCAGCCATGCCTGATGTTGCAAGCCTCCAAACAGGAACGGATGCAACAAAGGCGCTGCTTGCAGACTACACCGACCGTGCTCTGCCAACACCTATGCGGACACCTATGACTTCTTCGACAACCAGAAGCAAACAAGAGAGCATCCTTCGAGAGGCCAGTAATCTCCGAGCTCTTGAAAGAGGGCAGACACCATTGCTGGGTGGGGACGAACAACTGGAAGAACACGAGCAAGAGGAAGATGAGGATCTTCAGAAAACGGAACGGATAGCAACGCCAGGAATGCTTTTGGAGCGCTCAAAGACACCTCGTCGTGATCATTATGGGCTGAATCAGCGCCCTCAATCGGAGCTTAGGGGACCAGTTGACGACGCAGCCTCTGTTGGTGCTTCCACTTTTGCCACGAACATATCAATTAGAGAGTTGGCCAGGGAAGAGCGCAGGGCCGCAAAACTTGCTCGGAGACAGCTTGAAGAGGCTCTTGCAGCACTTCCAGCACCGCAGTTTGACTACGAGTTAGAAGCTCCATCGAATGCTGATGAGGATTTAGAAATGGGCACCGAGCCAGTTGTCGTAGAGGATGCAGCCGATATTGATGCAGCAGAACGGAAACGCCTTCGAGACGAAGTAGATAAGTTGTACGAAGCCAGGTCAAGCGTCGTGAAACGGGCTGATCTTCCAAGGCCGGTTGGTGCCATTGTTGACACTATTTTTGTGTCAACTGATGATGCAGAAAAGACAATTGATGCTGAAAGATGGCAGCTGATGCGACACGATGCCCATGCATTTCCTGTCAATGCTCCATCAGCGATCGGCGAAAAGAAGAGAAAGAAAAATGTCAAGCAAGCTCCAATCCCACCTGAGACTCCTCTCGATCCAATGCCGGAGGAAATGCTAAACGATGCAAAAGACTTAATTGAAGCGGAATTGAAGCAGCTTCTAGAACGGAGAGCACAACCTTACTTGCAAGAGGGAAAGTCAATGGAGGATGCACAAATTTTGTTAGATGAAGAGATTCTCAAAGCATGCGGAGCCCCCCAACTGGCCAAAGAAGTTTTTGTTGCTGGGAAGGGCTGGACCAATGCAACCGACGAGACCAAATTGCAAAGCTTGATTGACGAGTATGATACCTTTCAAGAGGCGACTTCTGCATTGCGAAAGAGAAACGAGAAAATAGAATCAAAGATAATAGTCTTGGCTGGGGGTTATGCAAAGCGTGCGGAGGCCTTATCGGCTGAAATGTCTAATTCCTATGGTGAATTGCGCAACTTGATCATTGAAGAGTCTGTCTACAAGGGATTGCAAGTGCATGAAGAAAAGGGAGCAGTGCAACGAATCGATCGTTTGCGAGCTGATATTCATCGGCTGCAAAAGGACGAGCCTAGATTGCAAAGTATGTACGAAGAATTGGCGGCAAAGAACAATGCTGAATTAAAAATCGAGTAGTTTTAAAAAACAATCCTCCTGTACTGTGCATCTGGACACACACCCTTTCGCTTGCTCACACGACAGAGCGATGCAAAATTTTAATTATCGAGGCATCTCAGCTTCGGTATCCCACTCATAGTATTCGGGCGACTCATCCCCACCAATGCCTCCTTCGACACCGACACCACCCCCTTTCCGGCATAAATTGATGCACGAGAGCAAACGCTGGAGCACGAAGAGCACTGCCAGAATGGGGACGAAAAGCATTAGCCAGAAGCTTATCTGTACAAAAGAGATATCTTTTAGCTTGAACTCGTTTTTCCTCATGAAGATTGGGGGTACCTGAACCTTTGCTATGATCTCGTAGCATCCATCATGGATTGTACCTCTTGTATGTTCATCTTCATCCAAGCAGTCACCACCACTACCATCGTATATACGAACCACTATGACATCCTGCTGGTCCCAAAAGAATCCTTCGTACCTCAATGAAGACAAAATCTGAGTCACACTGTCAGGTTCAGCTAAGAATGTCATATTCCGACTACCACTTGGGTCACCGTGACATTGCCAAATTGGATGACCCCGACTCTTTCGTGGGCTGAAATCTGCCAAGGTAGAATAGTCTGGAAAAGACAAGGATCCGTTCTTTGCCCATAAATCGACGCGCACACGGTCAACATTCTCATCAGGGTCCTCTAGCTGGGCACCATCGAGATAAGCTGTTGGATACCCCCAAGCACTAGAAGACTGTTCTGGTGGAACAAGTGCAGTCGTTGCTATCTCAAGAGTAGGCGGACGATTGACGTGTTGCACATCGATGTTCTTCTGTACAGGTTCCGACCATCCCAACACAGCACCATCGTTATTACCAGTTGCAACCAGGCGAAACTCTACCACATCAGGACTCGAGTCTAATTCCTTCCCACTGAAACTGGTACTAGGAGAAGTGAAGAAATTGTCAGACCTCGGTCGATAGAAGAAAGACATCTCCAATGATGAAGTTTGCAAGGGAAGCCTTATCCCAGGATCTCGGATAAGTCCTTTCTCGCCCAGCAGTATTCCATGCTGTGGAAGAACTAGAATTTCAATCCACACTTCATACTCTGGCATGGACTGGTTGAATCCTCCGAGCTGAACTGTTGAAGATTGGCCTTGGAGCACTGTGGCAGATGCTGCAGAAGCTACCAATCTCAATGGCCCACGATTCACAAGGCCGTCCGCGAAGCCTTGTAACTTTTCTTGATACGCCAATTGAATCCGTGCCGCTGCGTCAACTTTGTCGTATATAGAAACCTGGTACAGCGCTCCCGAATAGATATCTGTAGGCATGGATTCGCGATTTGCAAGCAATCTTATCGTACTGTCCTTATTCCACATTGTCAAATTCGTCATGAAACTATTCGGCGCGCCCGTAATGATGGGTTCACCGTTGACATAGACACTAGTCTTGCTGAAATGATCAAAACAAGGCACCACGAAGAATATTCTGAGCGTAAGGAAGAACAGTGCATCCAGCAGTACCACGAACACTACATAAAATGATTGACCACTTACCTCTCGTGCAGCGTCATGACAATCTGTGTCGTTTCGTCGTTATATAGGGGTCGGTCTCGTACCAGTAAGATCCTACAGGATTGGTATGGATCATTGTCAACGTAGCGAAATTCCAGTAAATCACCACGAAGCCCAATGGCAAGGTCCGTAAGATGGCATTCAAAAATGTCGTCGACTTGATGCTGATCACTTGCGATGGTCACAATGGGTCGGAAGGAGGGAGTTGGAGGTTTTTGAATCTTGGGCTTGATCCACAATTCCAATGCCAATCCAGTAGCATTCGACTGGAGAAAGGCTCGTCGCATTGGTGCGATTGAAGTGGATTCCAGCATGGTTTTGGACGAGATTCCATTATCAAGAGGATTACAGTGCGCCATCTCGATCCCCTGGAGATTTCCGAGGGTAAGATTTGACGATTTGATATCTGCTTTCCCATTAGCCCCGCATGGAAAGCTGTATTCGATCACAGGCATGCCTCGTGACGTAGCCGACAAGAGCCTTACGTTCGAACTGCAAACGGTAATCAACAACAGCAGCTTCATCTTGTGTGCTCAATGAACGAGTACTTTTGTTATCCATCTCCATTTTCCACGGTAGAAGAAGAAACCGACATTTGTCGGTTTCTCTGTGGGGAGCCAAACATTCGATCGAGGCCAATAGTGACTGCCACCGTTAATGATTTTACAACCGAAACGGTTTCCATATTACAAGATAAACAGGAAAGCTAATGATGTTCCATATAAAAAAGACGAACGACAATGGTTTCTTTGCGGTTACTCATTGCGGTTGGCCAGTTCCTTGGTTCAAGTTGCGCCATCTTTGATGGTGCATGCCTAACCCTAACCCTAACCCCACAACCCTAACCCTAACCCACTCGGACAGCAAAATCATTCGGTGTCTTCAAAATTTTTTGAGTTCCAAGGTATGATCCACAAATCACAAACGAACTCCTGAAGGAGAAGTTCATAGTTCAATAACTTGACAAAATGACAGGACTTGAAGAGGAAAACAGAAGTTTGCGATCTGAAGTTGATCGACTGAAGCAAGAGTTGCAATCAGCAAACGCATTCATTGAGTTGCTGTCTTCACAGCTTACGCATCTACAGCTGCTTCAGAAGGAGAGTGGGATATATTCAATTTCCGATATACCTTCGTCTCTTTCCAGACGTACGATGGACGGCGAGGAAACTGTCAATTCACCTCACCCTCTGGAACCGCCACGACGAAGCCTTGAAGCTGGAGCAGGTGGATTTTTAGGCTCTGGTCTCGGCACTCGACTGGATTCCAGAATTACAGAAGAAGCCGACGATGGGGATAGAGGGGATATACATGGTGGTGATTCAAATGAAACAAATAATAAGGCAAAAGACAAGGCGTCCAAAACGGCCACAAGAATCACAGCACAAAAAAGTCAGGGCGATGTTGCCGATCCACATGAAACTTTGACAGAGAAAGGCAAGGCACTTCAGAGTGCCAAAGGAGCAATTAAGGCGTTACCTCGAGAACTTTCGATCATCAACAGTGATTCCGATGACATCACAAAATACTCTCTCGCAAGTGCTATATGTAGTCTAGACAGAACCGACATGAGAGACGCATACAATGCACGAGGATTGTACACCGGGGAAGTCTCGAGGAGACAACAGCTACCCCATGGTATCGGAAGAATGGATTATCATCTTCAAGGCAAGTCCCCAATTTACAAATTTACAGATAGCATCCAGACCTTGAGCACCCTCCCGGCTCCTGACACTACCCTTCGGTAGCTTATTTCTGAGCTCACTCTCATGATTATTCATAATCACATTTCTAACTTGCCCTTCCTCTTTGATGCTACCATTCCATCCATCCCAACCAATCTTGAAGGCCGGTTTTATGATGGAGAGTGGAATATGGGGCACTGGCATGGGTTTGGAACCATCAGGAATGCTTTTGGAGACATTTATAGAGGTCAGGTTGTTAATGATTTGAGGGAAGGTAATGGGAGATTAGAATATGCTGACGGTCGAATTTTTGAGGGCCTGTTCAAGTCTGATGATGCGGTGAAGGGATCTTTAACCTTTCCTGATGGTGCTAAATATATTGGTGAATTGAACGACGGCAAAAGGCATGGCGTGGGTATATATTATTTTGCAGGTGTGTGAAAGAAACATGAACTGCGAGTTCCAGAACGACTGCCTTGGACATCTTCACTAACGTGCAATCAATATCCGGTTACTTGCTCTGTGGACTCAGATGGCAGTCGATACGAAGGTCACAGTGTAAATAACTTCTTTGAAGGTCAGGGCAAAATGATATGGGAAGATGGCGGTTTTTATGAGGGAGAGGTGCGTCCACTTTACGATGTTCCGGTCTTTGGCTGTCTTGGGACTATACTAATGGTTTTCTCTGCATACCACTACAGTGGTCACAAGGCGAAATAGATGGATACGGAAAGGAACTTCGTCCTGATGGATCAGTGAGACACGAAGGATTTTGGAGAAGTGGTTATCCAGTTCGTACTGGCAAATGTGACTAATCCGAATGCAATGCAAATGTAGATGAATGAGAAATAGTGAGCTAGATAGGATTCATCTATGGAAAGTCTTGTTTTCTTCATACCATATTCATCAGGCATGAAAAATTGTATCTCGTGTAGAGGCTCTGTAAAGTTCTACCATCGATTTGAAATTGCATTCTAACGGCAAGGCAACAGGGGTTTGTACTGTATATCATGCGGTGAACTAGACCTCGCACAACACTCACTCTCCCCTTATCACAGTAGTTATCATCACAAAATGCAAGAGGCTTAATCCAGGACTGTCCCATCATTCGTCTTGTATAGTATCTTGAATGTATTACTACAGTCTCTTCTTAAAATCTTATCGATCCAAATTTTGGTCGACTTCTTTGACCGCTTTCCACTGAAGAGCGCATTGTGTGTCACACTGCATGCCATTTGAATCATCCACATCAAAAGAAAACAATAAAATGCAACGTCAAAATAAATACGCACCAATAATTGGCATTTTGGCTGCTTGGTTGGTCTGGAAGGTTTCAGGTCTCTACATCCAAGAGCCTCCATATACAGAAGAGGAAAGAATTGCAGAGTATCACAGGCGTGGATATACCTGGCCGCTTCGTGAAGGCGAGTACGTTCCCAATGTCAAAGGCTGGAAAGAACTCATGAAGCGACGTTTTGAGCAAGTTATTGCCAACACAGAGCCTCAAGAAAGATGGGACGGGTGGCTTCAAACAATCGCATCGGCGAAAACTGTACCGTGAGTTTCCAAGAACGAAAGACAGTGTATCTTTATGGTTGATCGCAACCTGGGTTGGCTCAGACTCCTCTATTGCTGCAAACGCGACTTATGGAAACAACATTGACAGGAATTTTACAGAATTTGGTTGGGGACTCACACATGGTCCTGAGCAACTAACTTTGGAACTCGTTGATGCCGTTTACAAAGGGATCCCAACTGCGAGGGGAGAAGGACAGCTTGACATTCTTGATGGACCAATGCCACTGTTCATTGACCGTGAAGATTTAATGCACAAAGTTCTATTTGAAATGAAACCAATACTGGAAGCATGGGCAGGTATCGAGCTGGAGCCGTCGATCGCATATGGCTTTAGACTTTACAGGTACTGTACTAGTAGTGAACCTGAGAAAGAGAAATATCCCGTTTCGTTCTACTTTCATTACTAACGCTTCTGCTGACTGCACATGAGGTAGAAATGAGTCGCGGCTATGGATGCATGGTAAGTCTTCGAGAATATTTTATTCTAGTGACTGTTCGCCAAGATGCTAATGTGTGCAGTCGACAGAACTCAGACACATGTAATATCTTGCATCTATCATATTGCAAGTTCAAAGGATGCCGACCCATGGCCCATTGTGGTTGAAGATTTCGATGGCCATACAAACTCGGTTGTCCTCAAGGTACGAGCCACGTGAGAGCATAGTGTGTTCCAAGAAGTGGTTCCCATAAAGCGCAATTCACAAACCTCAAAAACTGTTTGTGTTTCCATGATTTGAATTCTTTGAAAAAGCCTGGAGATATTCTCTTGTACGAGTCAGCCAAGACTTTTCATGGTCGTCCGTCCCGTTTCAAAGGAACATTTTACACATCGGTACTTGTGCACTTTTATCCAAAGGAAGGGTGGAATTCAATAGATCGAGATTTGGAATGCCATTATGCGGTGCCACCCAAGTGGTATGAAACGCAACCCAGTAGTTTGGAAAAACTCAGATGGGTTGGAGCCTCGGCCCTTGAGCCAGAATGTCCAGATTCCTGGTGTAATTTGCGTTGTGCAAAGACTTGGAAAGGGTGCGTTACACATGAAAATTATCCACTGGTCCACTGTTTGCTTAAGGCCTATTGTACTCATAATTTGAACATTCAGACCATGGGAATACGGAAAGATCCTGACGGGAAGGGGCAGAAAGTTTGATTTGCAGCTGCTGCCTAGAGACGTTTTGGCGTCACGACGGAATCAAGTGCAATCACGAGGTTCGTTGTCTGTAGATTTGTGAAACATTTTGTTGCATGAATGATTGATTCATTCATTCAAAATTCAAAAACGTCAACTTCGTACCAATGCCTACCAGTGCAGTGCTGTTTGTCAAATCGGTCACCTGCTCCTTCTTTATGGCAAACCAAATGTACGGCAGAGGTAGTTTGAAGCCTAGACTTCCCTGTTATATAAGCGCTAGTGAACCGCCTAGTTAGTTGTCTCTCGGTAGAGTCATCCACCAGAGTTTCTTTCTAGTAGACAACTCAGATCGACATGCTGATGTATTGGCCAGACTTACTGAAGGATATATCATTACCGCGCATTTCCGCACGAAACGTATATCAAAATCATATACTTTTCCGCAATACCTGGAAATCATCTACCATACGATTACTAGTGAAATTTTAGTTCCCGCA